GAACAGTCGTTCTCTACCAAAGCCTGGCTAGTTGAATTAGTGAAAGAGAGTCTAAAACCCTTCGTAACCCTCATCTTATCGACTTTCGCGATTAAGTCCAGATAGTATTTATCTTGTGACTTGACCTAAATATATTACGCTGTCGACACCGTTCTAAAACGTTTTTACCCTCGTATAGTTTATTTTTTTTTACTTAGCTTCGCCCACAACCCCGTTAGCGTGGCATTTAAAAAAAAATAAGTAACCTATGTGTTTTTGCAGACTATGCTCTACATGTATGCCAAATTTCATCCAGATTCGTTATGCAGTTTAGGCTACAAGCATTAACGTCCACCCATCCATCTAAACTTGCGCATTTATAATATTAGTAAGAAGTAAGATTCTTTGTTAATTAGATAGATATAGATACAGATATCCGACCGTAATATTGTGTCAAAAATTATCCCTTACCGTTAGGTAATTGCATTTCAAACACAAAATTATTTACATAAAATACAAATTAGGTTAAATTTGTGTAAAAATTTGTTCTATATATTCTTTTTTCATTTGACTTTTATATTAAGTAATTGGATAGAAATGACAACATTAAAACAAAATGAGATCAGAAAACAAAGTCGATAATATTTATGTCACTATCGTTCATTTACTCGTTTATCCATCTGTTACTTATGAGAAGTATTTCACAGTTCATGAAAGTGGTATTAAATTACCTAGGCTTTACAAATATACAATACAACAAATATACAAAACAAACTTGCGCGGCAGAGCTAGCGGTTATGTTAGCACGGACGTTCAATAATAACTTTTACACAAATGGTTACTAATAGATTGAGGTTCGTTTGATTTGTATTGTAGGAAATAATGGCACAGTTGTCAGGTTTATAATAATTGGTGTCGTATTCATTATCTATACTAATATTATAAAAAGAAAAGATTTGTATTTTTGTATGTATTCGATTCGATTCACGTAAAACTACTGGGTCGATTTCAAAAATTCTTTCACCATTAGAAAGGTAAATTATCTGTGAGTAACTTAGGCTATGTTTTTTTACTTTGTAAATTAACGGTGGCGAAGTTATTTACATAATAGAAATCCGCTTTATGCGTGAAATGAGCATAACAAATCTCTTCCCAAAACGAGTCTAATTGCAACTCACTAATTAGACAATACGAGGGCTTTAAGTGCATTTATTGTCAGAAATCTCTAAGCTACCTTTAAACTAAACTGCCTGTAGCAGTAATCTTCTGTGCCAATTAGGGTTTGCTGGAGAATTCAAGCATTGATTTTAGGATTTCGTCATGTCGTCGGTCATTGTGTGTTATTTAATTGTTAATCGGGTGTTAATGGTCTATAATTTGAATATAATCTCTTTACTAAATTCAACATTAACTGTCAGATTCAAACTTCCATCGTTGAGATCGATCCGATTTTTTTTAATAACTTTGTATGAACGAAGTACTAATGTTTGGTCGCTCTATGAACAATTTATTATTATATCGTACGTAAATTTAACAAGTCTTTATTACTACTTTTGACTTATTTTGTTGAACCACGGATTTAAAATTATTCAGATTGTAAGCAATGAAATGGCAATGTAAAAACAGATCTATAATTTCCTTGGTAACTTTTTTTTCGGTTGCATTAAATTGATTTTTTTTACTCGATACCAGATGGCGCTGTGGTGAAACTGAATCGCGATGGAACATCTCGTCTCAGTAAACATTAGACCTCAATGAATCGATGTTATTTTTCCTGTAATGATGAGTCATTTCGTTCGGCTTCGTTGTTGTTTTTGCTAGTAGCTGTCGTTTGACTCTCCCTAGCCCTAGGTCTCGATTTTCTCTCGGTGAAATAGGATAAGTAATAAGAGTATAATTAAAGATGCGCTATTGGAGGGCCGTAGAGTTTTGAAGGAACAGTTAATTGGCTTAAATAAGTCTAACATTTTGAAAATTAAAATAGTAGAGAATCAACTAGTTAATTACACAGTTAAGAGTAAGATTTGTAGAATAGTGACGAAAACGAGTGCTTCTTATGTAAAATTTACGTTGAATTTGAGCTAGTTGAAAGTAAATCGATCATCCTTTGATTTAAACAGTCCGTAGAATCACCACACATCCCTAATCATTACGGTCCATTCGAGTTATATATCGATCGATGTAACTGATAATTTAGGAATCTGACAGAAAAAATAAATAGTTGTAAAGAGATTTTGTTTTTCTGTGGTACTAAGGACACCAAAAATTATTTATGAGTTACGAGTAGAGTAGATAGGTTTATATTATCTGTTTGTTATAAATGATAGATTATAATCATGATTTAAATAGTATTTCTATTATAATACATGATAATAATTAAAAAGTGATGCAAAAGTTACCAAGCAGTTATCATACTTTTTTTTTGTTTTCTGTCATTCGTAAATAATAAATTCATTGTCCAATTGAAATACTAGAATACAGAGCAACCTAGTTCAAGAGCCAATGCTCCCAACGTATAGTAATAAGTATCACAATAAAGCATTTAGTTGATCATGTATTGAAATCAGGCGGATCTCGTAGATTCTAGCTGCCCACAGACCCCTAAAATTAACCCCATTTAAAATCTCTGGGTAAAATAAAAAATGATATATCAAACATATGTTTTTAATGATTATGATTGTACTATATACATACTCGTATATTTGGAGCTTTGTTCATTTATACATATTCATGCAGACTGTACGCCTACCTCGCTACAGCAAATACAGCGCATAGGTCGCATAATCCTGAATTCAAGAATTCCGAATTCAGAATTATGTAACTATGCGTTTTAAAAACACATGACACATTCTATTTTTTTAATGAAATATAAATCATGCTTATACTATCGAATTGCATATTTTAGTTATATATTTAATGTGTGTGTGTGTGGATATAATTCAATTTTAGTGTGAAAAATGAAAAAAAAAACCTTCGTGTAGGAGAGAGTCCATAAACTACAAGCTGCCAACACCAAAAATGAAAGATTGCCATGGTTGTCATTTGTGCATTTGAATTTTGACATTTGCAATTGAAATTGTCACAGATGTAAAAAATTAAATAAAGGCTTCAATATACAAAAAAAAGAAAAAGAAACATGAAGTTATAATGCGGATAAAGCCGCACAGTGAGAGCTAGTATGTTATAACTATCAAATGAGTCAGCCTTGTTCATTTACTCAAAATTAAACATTGATTAACTTTTAAACTCGGTAAAGTAACTATGAAACTTTAAAGCCACGCTTTAAACCAACGTACCGTGTAACTGGGTCGACTGTAAATATTCTATGAAACAATAGCCAGCGTACAACCCGGGACTAATCTGTTATTTATTCTGTCTCCGATGGCTCTGTTTAAGGGCTTCTATACACAGACAACCTACTCCACGAATCAAGCAGTCGCTATCAAAAACTTTTAAAGAATAGCTTTGGGTGATTATCAATTGACTTTCGGCATACACAGACCGCAGTTTATATTCGCCGCAAAATGCAAATCGGCCGTACAACTGCTTTAAGCAGTTCGTGTATAGCAGTCCAGTAGTAGGGAGGGATAACGTACTGTATAAAATATTCAGTTAGAAAAAAATAAATTTATCTATTCATTAAAAAAGGTTCATTCGGCAGTGGATAGCGCAATGCTAACGTTTTACTGTGAATCCTAAAACAGAAGAACACGTTAGTTTTACAAAGAATACGAGAAAAAAATAACTAAATACTACATTGGGTTTACTTAGTTCTTTTTTAATAATAAATCAATCAATCAAGCAATGACAAAACTAAATTACACTAATGCTGGGTTGCGGAAGTTTCCATTTATTTAATAATTATCAAGTGATTCATTATTGACAGGTTGACCTAAGTTTCAAATGAGTAAAACTCTAGTTAAGTTGTTTGGAATACCGTTTTGTGAAGTTATCGAACCAAAAACACTAACGAATGATTTAATGTAGTTAGGAAACCAGCAATAAGTGCAACAACGTTAGGATTCATAGTCATCAGGTAAAATCAAAGCTTGTCTACCATTTTATAAAACGTAACATCGAAATGCTGACGCACAAATTTTATTTTTGAAAAATCATGTTTCCAAAATATATAACATGATTAAAACTGAGGTATTTTTAAAGATGGTTTATTTATGTTTGTTCATTTTATTTACATTTGTCAAGATTAGCCTTTATTTTCCCTTTGCTTCTTACCAAGAAGCTATTGACAAATCGAAACATAAACGTATATAAGCTTAAGCAGATTATGTTTCTTTCTATTTTTTTTTGGAGTGAGACATATTTTTTTAATTAGGTGTAAGGATGAAAAACTAAAAGGAGTACAAGATGTTTTTTATGAGAGTTTTAAAAATATTCAAAAAAGTAAAATAACGATGTTTTAATTTCCACGGGTCACCCCTATGTCAATGTTATTTATGTTTTTTTCTTTATTTTATTAACTTAGTTTTCATTTTTAAATTAGGTTAAATATAAGATGAAAATTTTTAAAAGGAAAAAGATGTCTTTGTAAAGAAAATTTAATAAAAGAAGTTGAAGAAACAGAAAAGGTTTCAATAGAATGAGCCCACGGGTCACCCCTGCATAAACAATAATAATTAAATACCATTTATAAAATAAATACTGGATATTCATTACGACGAATAAACAAACAAAATTAAAAATAAAACCATCGGCTAAACAAATTACATTTGTTGTTTTTTTAAATAAGTTTTTCTGCAGAGGACTATTAAATGTACCTAAATCGCAGCAATGAAGTAAAACTCGAAAAGTATCTGAAAATGTACAACTGAAAAACATTTTATCATTTCGCGCGATTAAACAAAAATCTAAAAGTAATAAAAACTGTTGACTCGACGAGAAAACTTTAATCTGCAACCTAAAAAGTACAGCTAAGTTAAACTCTACATTTTAGTTCTGCTAATTGCCAACCTTACGTCAAAATTACTTTGGCTTTTTCATAAAATTATTTTAAATCCTCTTACTCACTCAAAAAACGCTAATTTCCTTAAAACCCCATGCCTTGTGGTCTTAACAAGAATATTGACATTTAATTTTTTGAGCACAGCACAGTTAAACTTTAAATATGTAAAACTTAAAAATATTGCTTAAAAGTTTGTCAAAACTTTAACCCACGTGTCTCCCGGCTGTCAGATTCGACGGTCAAATATTTTAGGTTAGGCACGAACATAATCTCACTCGGTTGGTAAAAACGAGATAAAGTAGAGCAGATTAAACAAACGTGGAAAGCGGCACGTCAGGTTTCTTAAAAATAGCCGTGGCATAAAGTCGCGAGGCGGTTGTGGGTTGCAGATTGCGGAGTAGTCTGCCCGCGAC